GGGAGCCTAACCATAGCCACAGTGGGCCTGCCCAACCCTGAGTTACAAGAGTGCACTTCTACATAGACTTTGTACTTGAAGTTAATGGTGGCGTCTTCTCTTTCCTTCTCTTGTGTATATAGTCCACACACTGATTCCTCCTTTGGAAACCTTCACCCGGCAGCAATTCTCTGAAAGGAGCCATAGGGAGCTTCCTTAGTTTGAAGACCTGTATGCCGTTAAAAGAAACAACTCAGATGTTATATTCATGATGATTGTAATTTAATCCTTCATGGCTGCCCCAGTGAAGAGGGGTATTGACAAACAGTGGTCAGGCAAGACAGATGTATTGCGACGTTTAAGAACAAAAGCTCATACTTACAAAATGTTCATTGCTATGTCATGGGAACCGCAGGAGAAAAATTACATGCATTATCTCTTTTAATTTCACTCTCCAATTATACCATGTAGTGAATGTTCCTGATTCTTACCGTAGAGGTGAAGGATATCCATCTAAGAGAGTCTAAATATTTTTTCTCAAGACCACACAAATGCTAAAGTCAAGGGTCAATTTTTTTTTCTGATATCTGAAATCTCAGAAATAAATAAGGAATAAAAAAAGGGGGAATCTCATGAAAATTGAAGGGAGAATAGTAAAGTAGAGGAAGGGGATCAAGGGAGAGGAAGGAGGATGAGAAAAGGGAGGAAGAGAGGAATGAAATTGACCCAATTATGCCATCTGCCTGTGTGACTGCCTCACGATAAGTCCCACGTTTATGTGTGATTATAATGCAGATGTTTGGGAAGGTAAAGGCATATGAGGATCAGTAAAGTAGATGGGAAAAGTTGGGAGGAGGGAAAAAAGGAGAGAAAGAGGTAGTCCTGGGGAAAGAAATAGAACACATTGTATCCTATGCATTTATGAATACTCCAAAGTGAATCCCACTAGTACGTGTAACTATAATGCACTAATGAAAACATTAAAGTAAATAAATAAAAAACCCCCACAGATGGTGTGTTGATAAACTAAATTCATATCAAGGGAAGTCTGACTCAAGATCCCAATTTCTATATGTCCATCTACCATTGGTATCTCAGGAGTGTTATGCATTTGAAATAATTATCATAAAAAGGAGCTTACCAATGAAAATATCATATTAATAATGACAACAATAACTTTTTTAGGTTCTACTGTCCACAAGGCATTTTAGATCTCAAAAACATAGGAATAGCAATAATCATACTTTTTTCTAAGAAAAAGATTATGCCATGGTAATTAACTCTCACAAATCTATAGTGTCAAGTCACAGGATAAAGATTTCCTGGATTAAAAAAAAATCTATGTTTAATTACTGTTTTAGAGGTATGTAAATGAATAAGTATTAGTATTACCAGGAGCAGATCCTGAAATGTCTTCGAACAGTTTGGAAAAAAAGTTGATGTTCGAGAGTGAGTGATTGATACAAAGATGGAAATTTCTTCTAATCTGAAGAAGTCAAGATAATTATACACATTTAAGTGGAAATGGTGTGTGACTTGGATGAGTGAGTCATAGTCACTGGTAGGACCCAACATGGATGCCCAAGGGTGACGTAGTAAGGAGAAAACTTTCCCTGAGGTACCAGTTGGCGGTTCAATGAACACTGCATTTCCCTCTTTCTCCAGAAGATACACCAGCTTCATGGAAGCAGAAAACTGTACACAGGTGTCAAAATTCCTGCTCTTGGGCCTCTCAGATGATCCTGAACTGCAGCCCATGTTCTTTGGACTGTTCCTGTCCATGTGCCTGGTCACGGTGCTTGGGAACCTGCTCATCATCCTGGCTGTCAGCTCTGACTCCCACCTCCACACCCCCATGTACTTCTTCCTCTCCAACCTGTCCTTCAATGACATCTGCTTCATCTCTACCACGGTGCCAAAGATGCTGGTGAACATCCAGGCACAGAACAAGGACATCTCCTACATAGAGTGCCTGATACAGGCATATTTTTTAAGTACTTTTGCTGGAATGGATGATTTCCTACTGACCATGATGGCCTATGACCGCTTTGTGGCCATCTGTCATCCACTGAATTACACAGTCGTCATGAATCCCCGGTTCTGTGTCCTCCTGATCCTGCTGTCTTGGTTCATCATTTTCTGGGTCTCTCTGATTGATATTCTACTGGTGAAGAGACTGAACTTCTCCACTAGCACTGAAATCCCACATTTCTTCTGTGGATTGGCTCAGCTCCTTAATGTGGCCACCTCTGATACCCTTATCAACAATATCTTTCTGTACGTGTCAACTGCCCTGTTAGGTATGTTTCCTATGACTGGGATCCTCTTCTCTTACTCTCAAATAGTCTCCTCCTTGATGAGGATGTCCTCCGTCGCTAGCAAGTATAAAGCATTTTCTACCTGTGGGTCTCACCTCTGTGTGGTCTGCTTGTTCTATGGAACAGGGCTTGTGGAATACCTCAGTTCTGCTGTGACCCATTCTTCCCTGAGAACCATGATTGCCTCAATGATGTACACTGTGGTCACCCCGATGCTGAACCCCTTCATCTACAGCCTGAGGAATAAGGATGTGAAGGGGGCCCTGGAGAAACTCCTCAGCAGAGCAGCCCCTTGTCCCTGATGGACCACTGACCTCTAGTTCTGAGGAACTAGAGTCTGTACCATAATGAAAATGTGAACTTGAATATCTAGGCTCTTTTTTCATCCCTAAAATACATGCTTAATTTCTTCTATTTGCTATGACTTCTTTTATGTATATTTTTTGTATATATTTCTCCCCAACAACTCCCTTACTAACCTCTTTTCAGTTTTCTTCTTTATACATGGCTCATAAAGTTCCAAGATTGGTGAAATTTCTTATAGGCAATTTCTGAAATTTACACTTTTATGGGAATGGTGAAATTAAATTGACCAAACTATCTTATGTACATATATGAATATATCACAGTGAATTTCAACTTTATGTGTGTGTGTGTGTGTGTGTGTGTATGTAAACCATTGATTAAAATAATCTATAAAATATAAATTTATAAAATAAACAAGGAAGACCAGTAAAAGTGGAAGACAGTGAACAGGGAGAGGGAAGATGGAAGGAAAATAGGAAGTATTGGGAACCCCCCAACTATATTCTATGCTTATATAATTATGTCCAAATTAATGACAATATTATGTCTAAGTATAATGTAATAATAAGTGAAAATAAAAAAAAAATTGAAGACTTTCATATCAAGTGCTGTCATGTTTTTGTTAGAATTTATAGCTTGAATGTTGGTGTTTGTCGCTTGAACTTGAATGTTATTCTTGTTTTCTCTGGAAGAAATGGAATGAAAACCATCAGAGTGCTTCCTGTATCTGTCCTGTGTTTGCTGATTTTCATATTTGATTTTACTTATTCTGAAAAGATTTATTTGATGTATTTTCTCTCATTCACACAATTTCTGAAGGGAAGATACCCCTCAGGGGTGCATGAGAATGAGCGTACGCTGAGTGCAAGCCCTTGCCCTTGCTATCTTAGGTTTTGTAACAACAATGGCTGGATTTTTAGCTTGAAGGCTGGAGTCTGCCTTTGAAAGCAGTGTGCTCCTAGGACTCATGGTGGTATCAAGGGCTTTGGATGACCCCAACATGTTGCTCTGTTCTTTGTGATCCTTGCAGTGTTCCTTTCAAAAATCCTTCTTTCTTCCTCTCTTGTTTTCTTTCCTTCTCCATTCTCTTCTTCCCAACTTCCCTCCTTCCTCCTCTGGTTGTTTGGGTTAATGTTAACTATTTATCTTCTTTCTGTAACTGAGTAATTTTTCTCTTTATGTGAGCATCACTAGTTGCTTTTATATTAATCTTTTGTTGGTCTTTTAATTTCTACCATTTTGATATTGTGAACAGTAGTGCCTAAAAGGATATTTGTGAACATTGATTATTTGAGCACAGTCATATGTTAAAATAATAAGCTTTGGGAGGTGACAGACGGTATATTTGATAGTGGTCCCATAAGATGAGGTCGTCTAGTGATATCCCAGTCATGTGAGTTTATGTAAGTGACTTGTGATTTTGCACAACAGTGAAACTGCCAAAAGATGCATTTCCTATGATTAAACAGTGCATGGTTATGTGGCTGTCAGTTGCTTGGGTAATATACACATAGAAGTAAGACACTGGGTGATAAGGCAATGGTATATTCAACTTTTTAAGGAATCGTCAAACTGCTGTTTTGTTGTAGTTGGTGTGTTTCACATCTAATGTGTGAAGGTTCTGGTGTCTTTACATCATTGCCAAAACTTGTCATCTTCAATTTGATCTAAACTAAAGCTTCCTATTGGCTGTGAAGTGGTATCACTTCATGCTTTGGATTTGTGTTTCCTTATGACTAATTGAGCATCTTTTCAGGTGCTTGTTGTCAGTTAATAAATCTTTTGTGGGTAAATGTCGTATCGAGCCTGTGCTCACTTACTAATTTTGTAGATTATCTCATCGTCAGGGGGTCCAGATGGGGTCCAGGTCCTTGGTGTCCCAAACAAAGAACTGAGCAAAATACACACAGGTAACAGGCAAAGTACAGATTTATTGAAGACAAAGGTGGAGGTAGCACTCTGTTAGGTAGAGTACAGTGGCCTGAGAAGAGAGAGAGGCCAGAGGCCCTGATGTCTGGAAATTAGTGTCTCATGCACTGAGCTGTGAGGTGTTCTCTTCCTATATGGACCTGATTGAAGACCTTACCCCATTTGCTCCCAATGGTTACCTATGGACCTGATTAGAACATTGTCCAATTTCCCCCCATTGGTCATTTTAAAGTACTTGCAAGGCATTTTATTTTCCACCAAATGATCTTCTTCTGCCTCCTTTCCTTGCTTTCCGGAATTCAGAACCTTTTCCAATAAGTCAGATATACCCATTCCTCAGAGGTAGTACTTTCTGGAAAGTTTCCCTCTCTTCTCCACTCCCTCCCAAGAATTCCAGGTCCTTATTAGATTTCCTGTTTCAATTAGTTTATTAGTAACTGCTCACCCAAGATCCATTATGCATGGGGCATTGTCCCTTTTGTGCTTGATGTGATTGGGTGTTTCTTCTGTAATCTACCTGTGCTTGCTGTCAGATGTGAGTTAATTACATCATCGAATAGTTTATATTTTGGTTTTGTCATTGTCATTATCTGTTCACTTTAGTGGCCACTATATATATAATCATATAATCATTTCTATTTTTTGGTACTCAGGCCAATTCAGTGCTCTGGAGAATACTGAATGATTGGAGTTGGAGTATGTACTCTTGCCATGTTTATGAGTTGACCACAAATATCTATAATATTGTATTGTAGCATTTTCTTTTTACTAGGGTTTTCTAACCATCATTTTTTTATTGAGTTAAGAAGTTATTGTGGTTTCCTCATGTCTGAGGATACTCTGGCCTGGCTGCTAAAAATAGCATTAGCTGCTAAATCTTCTGAAGGACATTTTTCTATTGTGATTTTTGTTATGATTTCTCTTCATTGTCCTACTTCTTTTTTTTGTGTTTAATTGACATGCTGGTCTTAGTCTTTGTTACACATCCAAGGTTAGCATTTGTGGAACATCTACTAGGTGATAGGGACTCTGTCAATCCCTGTAAAGAAATAGGAGAGAAAACTGTCACAAACTCAGGTCTACAAATAAGTGTAACGTTGCCAGTGTGAGAACAACATCAAGGAAGACCCCAGGATCTGTTCTGTGGACCTCACACACTCGTCCCTGCTGACCCTCACCCTCACTCTGCCCCTGCTGAGCTCTCCATCATAATGGCCTCTCTTAACCCCTCCGGATGTCAACTCTCCACCTGAAAGGACAGCCCCACCTTCTCTTCTCTCAGCCCAGGATGTCTCTTCCTTCCTTTCTTCCTCTAATTAACCATGACCCCTCCTGCCTCTCAGCCCAGCATCCCTATTTCAGAGAAGACTCTCCTCCCAACCTTTGACAGACTACATTGGTTTAAATTTACTTTTTATGTCTTGAATTAATTCACATAGCCAGACTTTAATAACACTGTAAATCTTTATTTTTAAAACATTTTTTTTAGTTGTAGATGGACATAATATCTTTATTTATTTTTATGTGGTGCTGAGGATGTAACCCAGTACCTCACACATGCAAGGTGGGCACTGTACCACTAAGCTACAGCCTCAGCCCCTGTAAATCTTTTTTTTTAAGCCATCAATTTATCTTTTAATTTTTCCAGGATGATTGATTTATATAATGCTTAAATATTTGTAATCAAATCAATCAATTTTATATTTTGGCCATTATCTCTGGTGATATTAATACAAAACATCTCCACTCAAAAACATGGACACATGAGCACACACACATCCTTATATTCATTTTTTTTTCTTTTTTCTGGTACTGGGGTTTGACTCAAGGGGTGCTCTACCACTGAGCTACATCTCCAGCCCTTTTATGTATTGAAAGAGGGTCACTAATTTGCCCAGGTTGGCTTGAATTTGTGCTGCTCCTGCCCCTCCCTTTGAGTAGCTCCTTATAGGCAGGGGCCACCCGCAGCTACAGCTCTGACTGCTGTTGTGGTTATTAACAGTTGTTTCCTTTCTGAGTGGTGCTGAGAATTGAGTCCAGCATATGGAGCATGTTGGGTGGGTGCTTTGCTGATGCGTTACACCCCTAGCCCACTTGGGAGAAATTTCACCCTACTCCAGCCATGACCTACCCTCCCCCACTACCTGTGTCTACTTGGAGCAGGTTATGTGCTAGGGACTTTTCCCTATTTTGTAATTTGAAGTATCCACTAAGGTTCAAACCTTCCTTCATCCATCAACTTCCTTAGCCCTTACCAGGTTAAGCTGCTTCTCTGCTGGGTTATGATCAAGAATGGAAAATCCAACACCCCTCCCTTGCCTGGTGCCCAGTGGAAACTCAGTCTGTCCTGGGGACTGAGAAGAATACAATATCAGATAGAGATAGACAACCAAGTGAGGAGAAGACTCAGGTATGGAGCCCACAGAACTTGGAACAACTAAAGGATTGGAGATACAGGCTCATTATTTACTATTATGTGACCTGGGAGGGGTCACTGTAGAAGCTGACAGCTAGTAGTAATATTGATCCATGTTATCATAATCTCTAAGAACTTCCGATATAAGTAGTAGAAGAAGAGAACATGGATATCTACAAAAGTTTTGGGACTCTACCTCTACTCCAGAGATAGCTCATGCATACAATTCATACCACTCCTTTCTTTTATGTTTTTCAAGACTCATCTTTTTATTTTGTTTTTTATTGTGGCAAAATATACAGAGCCAAATATACCACCATTGAAACTACTTAGTTGCATTAGTCCATTGGCATTAATTACATTCACATACTTATGTAATCATGGCCATTGTACATCTCCCAAAATTTTTCATCCTCTGGATTCACAGGTTTGTACACATTTTAAAAGTGAATTTAGAAAGAAAGGACTTTTTTCCCTACCATAACTTGTGAATCTGAAATGATGCCTAAAATCTCCAGAGATTGTGAGTTGGAGAAACATCACAGGAGCTGGTTCTGGGGACTTTGCATACATTCTCAGTCATTCCTTCCTAACTTTTCTCCCTTATACATGGTCCATAAAGGTCCAAGTTTTTTTTTAAACAGGTATTCCTGAGATTTCCACCTTGACTTAAGATACATTAGGCATGAGAAAAAGATCCCTAAGATGAAAAAAATAAATAAATGCAAATATAACACCAGCAAAATGCAGGACTATGTTTTGGTGACAGTGTCACAAAAGCAGAAAAATGGGCTAACATTCACACAGCAGTGCGTTATTCACAAGGGTGAAAAGATGTAAATCACTCCAATGTCCATGAATGGATATACAGATAAACTCCTAATATACCAAACTACAATAGACTATTTCAGCCATAGAGAGGAGCAAGTGGATCTTTACCAACAAACCAGCCAAAAGACAGGAGGGAAAAAAGAAGGAAGGAATAAATGAAGGAGAAAAGGAAGGAAAGAATAAATGGGAAATAAGGAACGTTCGTAAAATAACACAAAAAATCAGAGTTACTGTAGGCATCTTATCAGTAAGAATCATATGAACAAACCCACATTAAAAATTAGATTTCAAATTGCAGGTTGAAAATTGAAGCATTGCTCTAATGAACAGTACGATACCAGAGTCAGTGAGGGCTCTGTGTCAGGTCCAGTATTTTGTCCAACCCAGTCTTCCTTTGGAAAATGTATGAATGAGAGCAAATATCTCAAAGTGTTTTCAAAATTAAATAAGGTCATACAGATAAAGTGACCAGCACAGTCATGATATGATGAGCACTTTGCTTTGATGATTTGTACCTTTTTTGCTCCAGAGAAAGTAAAACAAAATACAAAACAATAAATTAAGTGAAAGAACACGAACATTCTACCAACAATTTTTTAGGAAACCATGCCAACATGTGATAGACTTAAGTCCAGTTGGAAATCTCAGAAGTACCTGTGAGAAACCTTTAAAAACTTGGACCTTTATGGACCATGCATGAGGGGAAAAAGTTAGGAAAGAATTACTGAGTGTGTATGCAAAGCCGTAGATGGTTTAGGGATAGAAGACATCAAGTACATCTCTGGGGAGAAAAAGAACCAAGACAGAAAATCCACAGTATTTGTTTTGGGGGACCCAACGCTCAGCTCTGAGCTGAGTGATTCATCAGGAACAAGATGCTGCTTTTTCTACAAGTCTCCGAAGGGCCCCCTTCATATCTTTGTTCCTCAGACTATAGATGAAGGGGTTCAGCATGGGGGTGACCACAGAGTACATCACTGAGGTGATCATGGTTCTCTGGGAAGAATGGGTCACAGCAGAACTGAGGTAAACTCCAAGTGCTGTTCCGTAGAACAGGGTGACCACACAGAGGTGGGACCCACAGGTGGAAAATGCTTTGTACTTGCCCACAGAAGAGGACATCTTCATTAAGGAGGAGATAATCCGAAAATAAGAGAAGAGGATCCCAGTGACAGGGAACACACCGAGCAGAGCGGTTGCCATGTAAAGAAAGACTTTATTGATGAGGGTGTCAGAGCTGGCCACCCTGAGAAGCTGAGTCACTTCACAGAAGAAATGTGGGATTTCAGTGCCCATGGAGAAGGCCAGTCGATTCAACAGCAGAATATGAATCAAAGAGAACCAGAACATGATGATCCAAGACATCAGAACCAGGAGGATACAGAAGCAGGGGTTCATGATGACTGCATAGTTCAGGGGGTGGCAGATGGCCACAAAGCGGTCATAGGCCATTACAGTCAGTAGGAAATTATCCATTCCAATAAAGGTATTAAAAAAATATGCCTGAGTGAGGCACTCTATGTAGGAAATGTCATTTTTGTCCTGTGCCTGGAAGTTCACTTTGGGGACTGTGGTGGAGATGAAGCAGATATCAATGAGGGACAGGTTGGAGAGGAAGAAGTACATGGGGGTGTGGAGGCGGGAGTCAGAGGAGATGGTCAGGATGATGAGCAGGTTCCCGAGCACTGTGACCAGGTACATGGACAGGAACAGTCCAAAGAGGAGGGGCTGCAATTCAGGATCCTCTGAGAGGCCCAGGAGGAGGAATTGGGATAGGACTGTATGGTTTTTTGCTTCCATAAATCCAGTGTATCTTCTGGAGAAAGAGAAAAGGAAGTTCAATGAACAGTCAACTGAAACCTCAGTTAGCTCTCACTTTATAATATCATCCTAGGGTGGCTGGCCTTCATTCTTTATTTATTTCTGCCAGTGATTGTCATTTATTCAGTCAAGTGGCACTCATTTCTCTTTCAAAGCATATAATCATTCAGCTTTTCTTTCTTTCTTTCTTTTTTGGTACTGGGGATAGAACGCAGGGGCACTCCACAACTGATCAACATCCCCAGCCCTTTTTTAAAAATTTTTAAATTATTTTGAAATAGGGTATCCCTAAGTTGCTCATGGCCTTGCTAAATTGCTGAGACTGTGGTCATTGCTATTTCTTTATTTGGTGCTGAGTAGGAGTCTGAGTAAATGAGAGTTGTCATTATTATTACTAGTGTTATTTAAGAACTCCTTTAATATGTTTTGAACATATAAATATCTCAATGTGATGTGACTTAAACATGGGATTGATTCCTGAGTCCAGAGTTTGTAGAATAGAGATTTTCCCCTCACTGTACTATCTTTGTGACCTTGAAGGTGTTATTTAAGGTCACAGTACCATTCTCCACAGCAGGAGCAGTGAGCATTCATTGCATGGGAGGATTGAAATGTGAAATTAAATGAGATGATGTGATTTTCTACTGTGACCCCAGTGATACACCCAGGGTACTTAATCCATGTGGTCTTCTATTCTGGGTAGGACAGCCTACTCAGAAGCCTGGATGTTGAACTGAGAGAGGAAGACTGGTCACTGTTAATAAGAGGATTTAGGAACAAAAACCAATTTCAGAGGAGAGAGAAGGATCTATGTTGGTTCTGTCAGTTGGTGAGCTTGGTGCAGGAGGGGCTGTGAGGAGCCATGTGAGGAAGACAGGGTGATGGCAAGGAGGGACAGAGTGTGTGGGGCCCACAGTGGGGCTTCCTGTGCTCGTCCTTCTTGACCTCACACCAATGAACTCATGTTGATTGGTGAGTTTGAGACTGTGATAGTTTTGTCTCATCATTTGTCTCTCCAGTGACTTATTCAGTGGTTGTCACATCGCAGGTGTTGAACAAATGCAATCTTGGGAGTACAATAAATATGGAGAGCAGAATGTTTTCTATAACACAAAAGAGAAATTGTCCAACTAATCATCTGCCTGAATATGGGTATAAAATTGGAGAGTAATGGTAAAGTTAAAGAATATGCATCCAAATATATTTTTCCAGGTTTTTAAACTAGCTCTTTTTTAAGTTAATATGTGCATTACAGGAAAAATTAAAACACAAGCCAAAGAAAAAAGTCATCCAGTCACAAGCAGCTTACTTGGATCTGTCCCTTTAGGTCGTGCACATACATACTCAATATCAAATTTTGTATGATTGAGATCATAGTGTATCATGTTTTTCCACACATCTTGAATTCAAAATCCCCAAGCTACGTGAGTGTTTTTGATAACCAAGAATACACTACACCATCTCAATCTGTTTATCCTTTCTTGAGGCCAAAAATTTCACTGAAGACAGAAAAGGCAGCAGGCCCCTAGATGGACATATTGGCAGAGTTAGAACTAAAACAATGCATTTTCTGAATGCTCAATTTCAAATGAGACAGAGCAACAGAATATACCAAGCTTATTTCATTACTAGATTTCTGCTACTAAAATATTAGCAAGAATGGATGTCCCCAGTGACTTAAAGTATTCCTATAGGACAGCCAGAAGATGCACACCCACCAGTGGCTAACATCAAAATGTAAATCATTGCATGCTTCCTGGTGCCCCTCTGCTGTCTGCCTGATGAGCAAGACCTGGCACACAATGCGCAGAGCTAAAATAATTCCACGTCCAAGATGCATCTTTTCTATCAATTATAACAAAAATATATTCACAAATTGGCTAATTCACTAGCTCTAATTTTTATGATTCATTGTCACCTCAGATAGCATAAATGTTGTAAAATAAAGCATGAACTTTGTGCACAATAAACACAAGTACTGTACCAAAAATGCACATACAGATCTATGGTTATAATCTAAACCTGTCTTCCAGATGTGGTGATACTAGCAAAGAGCACTTCCCCTCAACCTTCCTCTTCTCCCTCTTCACCATTTCAGTGATTACATTCAGGACTATGCCTAGTTCCAAGAGGTGGATTAAGATACTAGCAAAGAGCACTTCCCCTTACCCTTCCTCTTCTCCCTCTTCACCATTCCAGTGACTACATTCAGGACTATGCCTAGTTCCAAGAAGTGGATTAACAAAGGTCATTCCCAGAAGACAGTTCTTCCTAAAATCTAAGAAAAAGATATTTATATAGGGATTATTTTGCTACTTCTAACAAATTTTGGACATCAGGATTTATTCTTTAATGCCTAGCAATATTAACCAAAATGCACATGGAACAATGGCTAGATGACCTGAACTAATCTAAGGGTCACAGGATGCTTCTCTGTACATACTTTCTCCTTCCCCCACCCACCACCTAGAGAACCTTCAGCATACTCTCCAAGACATCAAATTCAACGATTCCATTTCCCCTAAATGGCAAGCATGCCTATGTAGTAATGAAAAATACTTAAAGGAAATTACTTTAGCCTTCTACTTTTACCATGTGTTGTTCACTTTTAACATCTAGAAACACTGGATGTTTCCAACAAGGACTTAAAATTTCAACTAAAAGTACAGTATCACTGAATAAACTGCAAAACTTACTAAATGAAGGCTATACTTTGAAGCCAACCCCCCCCCCCCCGCCCTTTTTAAAGGTAGAATTGGATAGTGTCTTCTAAACAGGAACATTCTGGCCTAGAATCCTTCCTCTTCTAGTGTCTTATTGACCCAGGGGTCAAATCTATTTTAAAACAAAAATACAGAATGAACAAGCAATCCTAATTCTGGCAATGGAATTCAGTTTAAGAACATAATTGTTAATATAATTAATCGCTGAACTAGGTCTTTGAAGTGAAATCATAACAGAACACAATGAGTAAAATTCATTTCAGAAAATTTAACAGTCATTACTATGAGTAGCAGCCAGGGCTGAGACTGTTGGTAAAGGAAGAAACCAAGAATAATTCCTTCACCCAGTAAAGAATGGTTATTGTCAAACCGCATCCACCAAGACAGGCTACATTATAACACTAAGGCATCTGAAAATTCATGAACAGGGCAAGACATTCTCTTCCAACTTCTACCACCTGATAATTCCCTGAACACTTAATAATGTTGATGATCAGAGAAAAGGAAATTGGACTGACTGTTGAGTGTCAGAAAATATCACACGGGGATCTTAAGGTGAAACCATGGCTATCGCATCACAGAACTAATAAGAGCTCTCAGTAAGTCAAAGATGCCAGTAATAAAGGTTAGGGAAAACAAAGTCAAATTTAGAGAAAAACAGATAATCCCCCAGGCAATTTAGATCTTCAGTGAATCATTAACACATAAATACCTGGATGCAGGAAATCTGTCAGCAGCCTGCAATTTATAGACAAGAGTGCAGAAGAGCAGGAGAGTCTCCAGAAAAAAAACTTTCAGGAGAAAAGTTCTAGATTCCCAAGATCAGTAGATAGGGAAACGGAGAAACAGATGGAGGAGAGAGGTCTCCATGGAAACTGAAAAGTGCCTTCAAAGCACAAGGACTTCACAGACTACAGAAATTTGATATAGTCTTATTCTCATTTCAGAGATAAAACATGATACCCACATTATCTGCATTTTCATCTCACTGTTCCAGCCTGAGTGGAGCACACCAACTGTCTCCAGTCATGTTGCTGCAGTTTTCTCTTCCCAATGTCAGTCCGCAGGAAGCACCCTGGGCTGTCACTGAGGCTGAGATCAGAGAAGTGCAGGTGGGAACCCCAGGAGCATTATTAAATTTTCTGCCGTCTTGGAATACAAATTCTCAGTGCTCCTCATTAAATAAATTGTTCTATTTTCTTTCTATTCTCCACACAGTTCAGCTCTTTTGGGGTACAAAGAAAATGGTGGAGTGGAAAAGTCTCAGCCAGTTTTTTATTTGTGGAGTCGGTGGCAGGGGAACATATTTCCTTCAAGAGAAATATACCATTTTTTAAAACTTTGGTTTGATTTATAAATCATAAGCTGTCCCCTTTGGAAAGGCTAATTTCTTTAAGGAACCAGTCTCAGGAAATAGCTCCTGTCACATGACTCCATTTGACCATCTTTGGGGATGGTAGACATTATTTCACAATGTCATGGAAGAAATCCCTTCTTTTTTAGTTTTCTTTACTATTTTTGTTATTCAAATTTATTTGTCCATTTATTTGTTTATTTAAGTTGGCATATAAAATTGTACACACACATATTCAATGTGATATTTGGAAATATTTTGTGTCATGCATCAGTTGGATCTAAAACATAACTTTTGCATCATCTTATTAGTTAACGTTGTGGTGAGAATACTTAACATTTTTAAATAATACACTGTATCATCACTAACTATAGTCACCATGCTGTGCAGTAAATCTCTTGAAATTATTTCTCAAATCTAAATGTGTTTGTGTAATGATGACCAACATTTTCCCAGCACATCCCCAAAGCACCAGCCTGTGGTAACTACTGCTCTGCTCTCTCTAAATCAACTTCTTAAGATCCAACAAATGAACGGGATCGTGTGCTATTTGTTTTTTCATGCCTGTTGAGCTTCAGTAAACATAATGTCCTTCAAGGTCGTCAATGACAGGATCTCCTCTTTTTTATGTCATGTGGTATTCACTGTGTTTGTACCATGCAGTCAACCATCCCTGCCTCGTCTCATGCCTCGTCTCAAAATCGCTTTTTCCCTCTAGTAGAGCCTGGCATAAGTCCTGATCTGACGGTGATTCTCGATTGATTGGCAAGATCTAGGGGAAATTACATTACCTCCCATCTCAATTTCCTAATTAGTAACAACAAGCATTGTATCCAAGGTTTTAATTTGTGCGGAAGAAGGTACATAAGGCCCTTCATACAGTGAAACTAGCCTATACCACT